CACATCCCATGTCTTTATTTTTTCATTTTCTTTTCCCCCTACTCCCCCCCCCCCCCCCCCCTCTCTCTCTCTCTCTCTCAAATATGCTGTAGCTTGGTTTAAGTCAAGGCTGTGACTTTGCAATGAGTGATATCCTGAAGATGAATGCTGGCTAAACAATAAAAAGTCCTTCCTAATTAGTGTGACACTCAATTTCAACTTCAGAATAAGAACACTTGAGTGTCTGTGGCTTCTTGTCCTTTTCATCAAAATCTCATCTTGACTATTTCAAGATGCCTCTGAGTCTGTGAATGGCTGCAAGCAGAAGACGTCTACACTTTATAAATACTAGGAAGAAAGTAACTCAGCCCTGCCACATGGCTCCTGGGTCTTTATTTGAAACTGGCTTGTTGTACTGAACAGAAAGACAGCATCCAGAAAGAGCAGCCATCTTGTACAGTGTCTGCTCCAATGAAGAGCAGGCATGACACAGGCTTCTCACAAGTTCAGCCTGGCATATCAAGCCTATCTGATAGCACAACAAGAAACAAAGATTTCACTTGTCTTTTGTCTGCTTCGTTTTCTAGTTTGTCATCTCTTAGAATATTGCAGTTATCCTCCTCACATGAAGCCCTTATATTCTCAGGGTTCAGAACATAACATTTCAGCTGTGTCTGGACTAGCTTTGCCTCTGTGAGAACTAACAGGATGGCCACACATAGAGGGAAGGCATGATGGCATGCTTGCTATGATGTGTGGCAGCTGACGTGTACAGGGGATGACAGTTGCCTTCTCTTTGTCTGGGATTCAACTGGTTCTCCTTTTCCTGACTTCTGATCTAGAAAGCAGGATAACTGATTAGCCCACTAGAGAGTTTTCTTCTGCTCTGATGCCTGTGTCATCTATGTAAGCCTTAAATATCTTTTTATGACACTCATGTCTTAACTGCTTCAGAGGGGATCTGAGGAGAGAAAAGGACAGCTGATGTATATGTGGAGAATCTTTGATGGTGATCAGGGGCTAGAGTTTAAAGGGGAATCTTCTTTATTTCAGAAAGTTGATGAAACCCACGCGTGTTAAAATTGAAGAAAAAGAACCATTTCAAAGCCAGTCAATGTAACTGACCTTTATCTGGGTGCATTCTCTGAACTTTTATTGAGCTAATCAAAGGGAGAGCATCAATTTTCCATTAAAAAACAGCTGGAAGCCTTCTTTAAGGACTATATACGTGACCTTGTTCATCCAGTTGATCAACATAACAAGGTGTAGGTCAATGGGGCTGTGGATTTAACGGATGCAGGTGAAACTATTCTACTAGGAAGAGCTTATTTACTATTTTCTTTAGACTTTCACACACGATCACCATATTTGCATCATTTCCACATCTCCTCTTCCTCCAACTCCTCCCATGCCTCCCCACTTCCTCTCAAATTCACGACCTTTTCCTTCTTTAATTATTATTGTTGAATACATATGAATGAATATATCCTGTTGAGTCATATGTGTTTAGGGCTGACTGCTTGGGATTAAATAATCAGGGATCTTGTCCTTGGGGAAGATGGATTCTCCCTCTCTCAGTAACCATTAATTGCCTGGAGCTCTTCATATAGGGCTGAGGCCTTATGAGATTTCTTCCATCCATGTTGGCATGTCAATTGGTGCTGGTCTTGTTCAGGTGACTAGTTTTTTGAGATTCCATAGGTATAGATAGAACCTTTGTAATATACAGTTGATACTACCTCCCAGCAGATGTTCTGGTCTCCTGGTTCTTACAACCTTTCTGTTCCATTTTCCACAATAGCCCCTAAATCCCTGAAAAGGTGTAGACATGAGCTGTAAATGTATCAACTGGAATTGGTATCACTCAGTTGCTTGCTCTCTGTGCTTTGATAAGTTGTACATTTCTATAGTGGTCTCCATCTTCTGGGGATAAAAAGAGACCTTCCTTCTTTGGTAAGGGGTAAGAACTACATTGATCTCTGGGTACAAGGTTATGTATTTAGAGTGAAGTTAGAAATTAAACTGATTAGGAAAGAGACAGTAGTAAGCTTTCCACCAGGGCTCAAGACCTCACCAGCAATAGGTAGTTGGGTGAGTTTTTAAGAGCAGGTGTGAATTTTTTCCCATTGAGCAGGTTGTAACTCCTATTAGACAGTTGTTGGTTACTTACAAGATATGCCATTATTGTACCCTTATATATATTTTGCTACGCTACAAATTGTTGTGGTTCAGATACTTTACAACAGGGAGGATTGCTCATTGCTTTTCTCTTTTGGCAGCTTCATAGCCCCGTTAGATATTATGAGAGCCAGCCCCCAGACAGGAACCTTTTGGGCCACTTCCATTGACTTCTCCAAGTCCTGTGTCCAAACTGTGTGGTGTCTTCAGCAATGGGGTGTGCGTTCACATCTCTATTTATAAACAGCAAATGCTGACAGGTATGTAGAAGAAGGAGAACCATCATTCATGGCTGTGATTGCAAACTGGGTCAGCCATTATGGAAATCAGGATGGAGAATTCTCATGAAGCTAAAAATAGATCATACAGTGATATGTAGTAGGACTAAATTGTTTTCATAGGTTAGTAATGTATGTACACTATTTCTCCCTCTGTTTTCTCCTTCTACTAGTTGTTGTCTTGAACTTAGTAGTCATTCTGCCTGGGGTAAGATGTTATGTCAAAGTAGTTATAGTTTATATGTCCCCAGTTGCTAAGGATGCAGAACACTTTCAAATGGTATTTCTTACCCAGTTTTTATTTCTTCTTTTGTGAAGTCTCTGTTCAGATCTGTATCCTAATTTTAAAAACCCAGTCATGTTTTATTGGCTTTGTTTTTATTTTTAATTTGTATATTCAGGATATTAATCTCTTACCAAATGTAGAGAATTCCTCCCCACTCCCTGGGCTTCTACTTCATGTGGCAGAACACTCTCTTTGCTGTACAGACATTTTTAGTTTCATGAGGTCCCGTTTGTTAATTGTTGGCCTTAATTCCTGCATAAATGGGGTTCTACTGAGAACATCATTTCTTGTGCTTATTTCATGTACACTGCTGCCTATGTTTTCTTCTAATGCTTTCAGGTTTATCATAAAGGTCTCTGATATATGTGCAGTTGACTTTTGTGTAGGGTGGACACCCCATCTTCCAAGTATCATTTTAGTGAAGATACTGTCTTTTCATCAGTGAGCATTGATGTTTTTGGCATCCTTGTCAAATCAGATAGCTATAGGTTTGTGGATTATGTTCAGGCTTTTTATTTTACGGTTTTATTGATCTCCATGTGTATTTTTGATACCAGTACACTGTGGTTTTTATCACTAGAGCTCTACAGTGTATCAAGGGATCTAGAAAGGTGATCTTCTATGAACTGTTCATTTTGCTCAGGACTGCTTTGACTATATGGGGTCTTTTGTGTTCCATATAAATTTTAGATTTTTTTTTAAAATTTAAGTGGCAGGGTACAAAATCAACTTATAAAAGTCAGTAGCCATTTTATATTCCAATAACAAATACACCAAGAAAGAGATAATGAATGGAAAAACACTCCCATTCACAATAGCTTCTCAAAAATTATTGGGCAATAACCTAACGAAAGAGGTGAAAAACAATACAATGAAAATATCTGTTTTAGAGATTGAGGTAGACACTAGAATAGAGAACGACCTCCCATGGTCATGGATCGGTAGAATTAATATTGTGAAAATGAAAATTCTGTCAACAACAATATACAGAGTCAACTGAATCCCAAATCAAATTTCCCTCTCCACAGAAATGGAACTAACTATCGGTGTTAATATGTATCTGGGAAAGGACTTATGAGCAACTGTAGGATATTTGACTCTTTAGAGTAATGGAAATATATCATCTATAAGTTTAAATACACCATGCTTCTCATTTCTGCAAAAGTGGGGAACTGAGTGAACGAAGTGGCACTTAATTGGTTTTATGTTTGTTTGTTTTGTTTTGACACCGGATTTCCTTATATTGAACATGCTGACTGGAACTCCCTGTGTATTCCAAAGTGGCCACAAATTTATAATCCCCTCCTGGTTCCCTGTCTTATGTGCTGGGATTGTAACCACATGTAGCCCATAGCCAAATCGTTCAGTAGTCTCCAAGTGCTTGCCACACAGCTAAGTCAATC